CCGGCTGGCACACCCCTTGTACCTCTACAGGGTAAAGCCTCAGGGAGGTGAACGGGAGAGAAGAGCTCCACCTGTGAGAACAAGCCCAGAGACATCCCATCAGGGGAAGAGATGACACAGAAACCACCTGGACCTGCCTAACAGCTTTGGGTGTTACAGTTTTTAGGCAGGTGGCAGTTCTGACTTATCAACTCTATGTGTTTGCAACAAGTATTTTTATATAAGCAAGTCGTACACTGAAGAACGTCCAAACATGGCAAATCAGAGAGAATTTCACTTCAGCTTCCTTCAGTGGATTGGTTGTGTGAAGCTGCTCAGTGGGAGGGAAGGGACTGACGTCACCAGTAACAAGGGTAGTTCACACATTCCCCATTTGGAATTGCTCTTTGTGTCAGTCTTTCATATTTTTGTTGAGGCGTCACAGCAGACATAGTAGTGGGGTGGGTGTTGCACACTCAGGGCCTGGAGCACAGGTTGCTCCACTGCAGGCCCAGTGCTTACTCAGGCCCCTCCCTTCTCCCTGCCCCATTCCCTTCCTATACTCTACTCTTCCTCCTTCTGTCCACTTGTCAGTTTATTGATTGGAGCGTTGTAGGTTACACAAAGATCAATGCACTGTGGTATATTTACACAGCACAACTTGGGCGATTTCATTGTGAGGTTCCTCCCTTTTTCCATCCCCTTTCCATCCCCTTCTCTCTCAACCTCTTCCTCTGCTCCATTAAACTCTCTTCTGTTTTCACAGTGTTGCCCCCTTTTCCCCTGACTTTGCTCTAGTTTCTGCAAATGAGAGAGAATATCTAACTTTTCCTAAAACTGACTCCTTTCACTCAGCATAAAGTTCTGCAGTTTCCTCCATTTATCAGCCAATGCCATAAGTCCACTCCTATGGCTGAGTGAAACTCCACTGCGGACATGGAGCACATTTTCTTTATGAATTCATCTGCTGACAGGCACCTGGGCTGGTTCTGTATCCTAAACACTGCTGTAGACATTGCAGTGACTGTTTCACTATAGAATCGCCAATTTGAGTTCTTATGGATAAATGCCAAGGAGTGGTATAGCTGGAGCAGATGGTGGTTCCACTCCTAGTCTTTTGAGGAATCTCCATACAGCTTTCCAAATGGATGTGCTAATTTCCAGCTCCACTAAGAACATATGTGTGCATTTTCCCCCACATTCTTGCCCATATGTGTTATTACTTGTATTCTGGATTGCAATTCTGACTGCAGTGAGATGAAACCTCGATGTATTTTTGATTTACATTTCCCTGATTTCTACAGATGTTGAGATTTTTAAAATGTACTTGTTGGCCATTTGCATTTCTTCTTTTGTGCTATGTCTGTTTAATTTTATTTTCCTATTTATTGTGGCTTTTTCTTTTGGTGTTATTATTTCAGTTTTTTATACATTCTGGATATTAGTTCCCTGTCAGAGTAGCAGCTGGAAAATATTCTCTCCCATTCTGTAGGAGCTCTATTCACACTGTTAGTTGTTTCCTTTGCTGTGAAGAAGCTTTTTAATTTGATGCCATCCCACTTATTGATTCTTGGTTTTATTTCTTGAGCTTTAGGAGTCTTTGTAAGGAAGTTGGTGCCTCTGCCAGTACATTGGAGTGTGAGCCCATGTCTTCTTTTAGCAACTGCAATGCTTCTAGCCCAGTTCCTAGGTCTTGGATTCTCCTTGAGTTGACTTTTGTGTGGGGTGAAAGATAGGAATCTGGGTTCCTTCGTCTACATATGGATATCCAGTTTTCCTAGACCTTTTGTTAAAAGGCTCTCTTTTCTCCATCATGTTTCTGGCACTTTGTTGAGTGTCAGATGTCTGTATTGATGTGGGTCTGCCGATGCATCTTCCATTCTATTCCACTGGTCTTGGTGTCTGGTTTGATGCCAACACCATGCTGTTTTTGTTACTTTATCTCTGTAGTAGAATTTGAGATCGGGTACTGTGATGCCCCTGGCTTAGCTCTTCTTGCTCAGTAATGCTTTGACTATTCTCAGTCTTTTATTCTTCCAAATGAGTTTTAGGATTGTTACCCTAGTTCTGTGAGGAATGTTATTGGT